ATTTTTTGGAGGATTTTAGGGGATTTCGGGGTGGATTTGGGGGGTACTTCCGGGGGTATTTTGGGGTTCGGGGGTTTGGCTGGGCGGGCGCTCAGGGCGGCACGCTGTGGCGCACCCAGCGCAGGTACGGCGGGTTCCCCTGCGCCACCGGCAGCGCCAACACCTCGGGCACCTCGTACGGGTGGCGGCTCCTGGGGAGCAGAGCCCAGCTCGGGACCCCAAAAACCCCAAAAACTGCCCCAAAAACGGCCCCGGGACCCAAAAATCCCAAAAACTGCCCCAAAAACTGCCCCAGAACCCAAAAATCCCAAAATTACACCCCAAAACTGCCCCGGAACCCCAAAATCCCAAAAACTGCCCCAAAAACTGCCCCGGAACCCCAAAATTACACCCAAAAACTGACCCGGAACCCCAAAACCACAGCGGGAACCCCAAAAACTGCCCCAAAAACTGACCCGGAACCCCAAAACCACAGCGGGAACCCCAAAACCCCAAAAACTGCCCCAAAAACTGACCCAGAACCCCAAAAATCCCAAAATCACACCCCAAAAACTGCCCCAGAACCCCAAAATCACAAAATTACACCCAAAAACTGCCCTGGAACCCCAAACCCACGTAGGGAACCCCAAAATCCCAAAATCAGCCCCAAAAACTGCCCCGGAACCCCAAAACCACAGCGGGAACCCCAAAAATCCCAAAATTACACCCAAAAACTGACCCAGAACCCCAAAATCCCAAAATCAGCCCCAAAAACTGCCCCGGGAACCCAAAAACCCCAAAAACTGCCCCAAAAACTGACCTGGAACCCAAAAATCCCAAAATCACACCCCAAAACTGCCCCAGAACCCCAAAATCCGAAAATCAGCCCCAAAAACTGCCCCGGAACCCCAAACCAGCTCAGGAACACCAAAATCCCAAAAACTGCCCCAAAAACTGCCCCGGAACCCCAAAACCACAGCGGGAACCCCAAACCCAGCTCGGGAACCCCAAAAACCCCAAAAACTGCCCCAAAAACTGACCCGGAACCCCAAAACCACAGCGGGAACCCCAAAACCCCAAAAACTGCCCCAAAAACTGCCCCGGAACACCAAAATTACACCCAAAAACTGACCCGGAACCCCAAAACCACAGCGGGAACCCCAAAAATCCCAAAAACTGCCCCAAAAACTGCCCCGGAACCCCAAAACCACAGCGGGAACCCCAAAATCCCAAAATCAGCCCCAAAAACTGCCCCGGAACCCCAAAACCACAGCGGGAACCCCAAAAATCCCAAAAACTGCCCCAAAAACTGACCCGGGACCCCAAAACCACAGCGGGAACCCCAAAATCCCAAAAACTGCCCCAAAAACTGCCCCGGGACCCCAAAAATCCCAAAAACTGCCCCAAAAACTGACCCAGAACCCCAAAAATCCCAAAATTACACCCAAAAACAGACCCAGAACCCCAAAAATCCCAAAATCAGCCCCAAAAACTGCCCCGGAACCCCAAAATCACAAAATTACACCCCAAAACTGCCCCGGAACCCCAAAAATCCCAAAATTACACCCAAAAACTGCCCCAGAACCCCAAAATCCCAAAATTACACCCCAAAAACTGCCCCGGAACCCCAAACCAGCTCAGGAACCCAAAAACCCCAAAATTACACCCCAAAAACTGCCCCGGGAACCCCAAAATCCCAAAATTACACCCAAAAACTGCCCCGGAACCCCAAAAGTCCCAAAATCAGCCCCAAAAACTGCCTCGGAACCCCAAAATCCCAAAATTGCACCCAAAAACTGCCCCGGAACCCCAAAACCACAGCGGGAACCCCAAACCCAGCTCGGGAACCCAAAAACCCCAAAAACTGCCCCAAAAACTGCCCCGGAACCCCAAAACCACAGCGGGAACCCCAAAATCCCAAAATCAGCCCCAAAAACTGCCCTGGAACCCCAAAAATCCCAAAATTACACCCCAAAACTGCCCCGGGACCCCAAAACCACAGCGGGAACCCCAAACCCAGCTCAGGAACCCCAAAAATCCCAAAATTACACCCAAAAACTGCCCGGGAACCCCAAAATCCCAAAAACTGCCCCAAAAACTGCCCCGGAACCCCAAAATCCCAAAATCAGCCCCAAAAACTGCCCCGGAACCCCAAAATCCCAAAATTACACCCCAAAAACTGCCCCGGAACCCCAAACCCAGCTCAGGAACCCAAAAACCCCAAAATTACACCCCAAAAACTGCCCCGGGAACCCCAAAATACCAAAATTACACCCAAAAACTGCCCCGGAACCCCAAAATCCCAAAATTACACCCCAAAAACTGCCCCGGAACCCCAAAATCCCCAAATTACACCCCAAAACTGCCCCGGAACCCCAAACCTAGCTCAGGAACCCCAAAATTCACCTGGGTCACCCCAAAATCTCCTCCAGAATCCCAAAACAACCTCGGGAACCCCAAAATCCACAATATCCCCCCAAAACCAGCCCTGGGGACCCCAAAAATCCCCCAAATCCCACCCGGGACCCCCC